CATGCACAAAGAAGTTTGTGAATTGCTGATTTAGGCTGCTGCTAAATCTCAGTGATTCACTGTGTAAATGCCTAAGATAGTTTTGATCTTAGTTATTGTTGTACAAATAGTGACTTAAATTGCTAAATCTCTTAAAGCCTGCCATCGTGTGGTTGTAGGAAAAATTGTCTGAAAATGTGTTTGAGGTTGCTCTGATTCAAATCTTTTAGCTATTTGATGGCAGCAAACTGGACTATGGCTAAAGATGCACTCCGTTGTTGCTAGATCAGCCGACTTTTTTTTTTTAATTCCTGCAAGAATATTTGTGCTTATTAGTAAATTAATTGAGTTCCTATATTTCTTCTTGCTTCCAAATATTGCTAAATGTGACCTTCCAAAGATTTTTAATTGGATGTGGCCTTTTTATATTGTATAAAGAAGAAGTCATCTAGACTTTTTTGTAATCTAAAAGTATCAGGAATGTTAAGTGTGGTTTTGCTGGTAAACTTTAGTTAGGTCTAGAAACACCTAACAAACTTTCTCACCAAGTTTCTGCTCTCTCTCTCTCCCTCCCCCCCCCCCGAAGCTGATTTTAATGGAGCCCAAGTTAAACTTCGGGAGTTTGAGGCAGCTCTAAATTCCAAAGAAGCTGCGCTAGCTACAGCACTTGGTGATAAGAAAAGCCTGGAAGGTGAACTCGAGGATTTGCGAGATCAGATTGCACAGGTGAGCTAAAGAAGTGGTTCACAATCCAGTCTGTTGAACAGATGGATTCTGAAACCAGGAAACCACTCCTTGTAAAAAAAGTTAAAAGTTACTTTATCAACAATTGGACCAAAAAATGCTGTGAACAGAAGTAAATCTACTGCTCTCCAAATGAATGAAAGTAAAAGTTCTTAACTGAAAACACTATTGCTGGCATGTTTGCTAAACTGACTCTGTTCTCCCTAAAACAAAAGAGAGGATGACTATGCAGCACTTTAAAAACTAACAGGATGGTTTATTAGGTGATGAGCTTTTGTGGGCCAGACCCACTTCCTCAGATCAAATTGTGGAAGAAAATTGGCATGACCATATATACCAAAGGGATCACTTTTTTTGATTATATCCCTTTGGTATATATGGTCATGCCAATTTTCTTCCACAATTTGATCTGAGGAAGTGGGTCTGGCCCACAAAAGCTCATCACCTAATAAACCATCCTGTTAGTTTTTAAAGTGCTGCATAGTCATCCTCTCTTTTGTTTTAGGGAGAACAGAGTCAGTTTAGCAAACATGCCAGCAATAGTGTTTTCAGTTAAGAACTTTTACTTTCATTCATTTGGAGAGCAGTAGATTTACTTCTGTTCACAGCATTTTTTGGTCCAATTGTTGATAAAAACAGGGCTCCTGTGGAATTTGCATATCCTCATTCAAAAATAGCATGTGGTTTAGACATACCTTTGGAAAAGGCTGCTAATGAGCCACTCCCATTTGTTAATAGCTCCTCACCATGGAACCTCATGGCTCCCATAGGCTGTGGTTTGTGGGTTTTGTGGCATAAATGGTATGTTGAACAAGCAAACTGTATTTCAATGCACCATTCATTCTCATATGCTGCTTAAAGATGTCAGTAAGTTATATATGAGCATTCTACATAAGTTTAACTGTAATAACCCTTTTTTAGTTGGAAGCCTCATTAGCTGCTGCCAAGAAACAGCTGGTAGATGAAACTTTACTGAAGGTGGATCTTGAAAATCGTTGTCAGAGTCTGACTGAGGACTTGGAGTTCCGTAAAAATATGTATGAAGAGGTAATTATCTTTATATAGTAAGTTTTCATTGTAGAGGAAGCACGTGATAAAAATTTGGACTAGTTCAGCAGCTTGTTGGGAATCCCGGTGTATGTTTGTTTATTGCAGAAGCATAACTTGGCATGTGACATGACTGAAAATTCTTTTAAGCTGTGTGCCTTTTTAAATAGTATAACCTGAAATTAATATGTTCATTTTAAGGTAAAGATTTTCACTTCACTGTTACATATGAGTGTTCAGGAGGATCACAGGAGCAACAAAAAACATGTTTGAGTGCAGCATCCCTTACTCTGTGTACACACATTTCCTTTCCAGTTTCAGCTTACTATTAACACCCTTTTGTAGAACATAGGGGAAAAACGTGTAAGCGTGTTGCCTCTTACCACTAATCACTGCTTGAGGAGAATTTTTCAAGTAATGTCAAATGCACAAAATAAATATTGAGACGTACATTTTCTCTGCTAAACTTTAAATCCTAAAGTTTGCTTGTAGCAAAAGTATATCATTTTTAGAAATGTGGTATTTCAAGTTGAAGGTGCTCCTCTAGCACTTCTGACTAAATATTATAAAATTCAGTTTATGGTGTCAGATATGGAATAGGCTTTGTGAAATATTTAGGTGTTCACCGGATTCTAATATATGAAGAGCTGGAGTGGATATGCTACTGGAAATACTATTGTTGGGGTATTACTCATTTATTCAGGATACTAGTTGATGTCGTTGTTTCACATTCTAATTATAGCAGCTTAAAACTGGACTCTTGGCTGTTGGTTTAAAGCTCATTTTAACTGTTAAACTCATGTTCTTTGAAAGGTATGCCATTTCTGTTTTTCTTAGGAAATCAATGAGACAAGAAGGAAACATGAAACTCGCTTGGTTGAGGTGGATTCCGGGCGCCAAATTGAGTATGAACACAAGCTGGCTCAAGCACTTCATGAAATGAGACAGCAGCATGATGCACAAGTGAAAATATATAAAGAAGAGCTGGAACAGACTTATCATGCCAAAGTGAGAGCATATTTCTTTATATTGCTCTTTGACAGACTTTTTTCCTTGGGTGGGGGATTATAGTAATTCCAAATAACTGAGATGTATGAAGAGCCCTGGACTGGATTTAAAGCCTCATGTGTCTGGAAATTTAAATTCACACCCGGAAACATGTAAAATCTGATTTCCAGTGGAAATTATCAGGAAATATCCAAGTGTACGGTCTTGAATTGTACTTCCTATGAGTTTTTAAAAAATGAGGAATATGACTAGTACTGTGGACTCCAGAAAATGTTTTTTGAATTGCAATTAATTTACATTAATACTGGTTGTGAGCAGGGTTTCCCACATTTTTTTTAATAAACCTAGGTCTAATAGGTCTTGCTGAAAGATGAACATCCTTTGTGATGACACATTAAATATGGTTAAGCATGGTTAACTCCCTCCCCCCCTCCTTTTTTTTTTTCTTCTTACAGGAGAGGCAATATGAAACTTGTATCGAAATCTGTCACTTTAGATAGTTCAGGTACTTGCTCATGTTGATTGCATTCTAGGTGTGTGCATGGTCATTGGAGACTTTTGCCTTAGCGGTATCTATAGATTTGGCTGTGGTGCCCCCCAAGTGCCATGCTCGTTCACAGGTATATTACATGCTCCGTTCTTGCCACCTTTGACACTCAGAGTGCCTTGTCTTGCATTGCAAGAGTCTTAGCAGTTCTTTACAGCCTATTCTCTCTCGTCTTTGCATATAGTTCGTAGGAAAGTAGTTAGCCATTAAGTCAAGTAGCTTCAGGGGGTAGCCAAGTTAGTCTTACAGAAAAAAACAACAAATGGTCTGGTAGCACTTTATAGACTAACAAAACATGTAGATGGTGGTATGAGCTTTCGTGGGCACAGCCCACTTCAGATGACCGAAGTTATTTGTAGGGGATATGAAAACTCAAAATAAATAGGAGAAGGGAAAGGAGGGGTGGGGGAGAGAAGAGAATGATGTCCAACCTAACCTAAGCCTCCCTTGCTGCAATTTAAACCCATTGCTGCTTGTCCTATCCTCAGAGGCCAAGGAGAACAATTTTTTTCTACCTCCTCCTTATAACACTCTTTTAGATACTTGAAAACTGCTATCATGTCCTTTCTCAGTCTTCTCCTTTCTAAACTAAACAAGCCCAATTCTTTCAATCTTCCCTCATGTTTTCCAGACCATTAAACATTTTTGTTGATCTTTTCTGGACCCTCTCCAAGTTCTCCATCTTTCTTGAAATGTGGTACCCAGAACTGGATACAATATTCCCATTGAGGCCTAATCAGTACAGAGTAGAGCAGAAGAATGTTTTTTTCCCCCCCTTTCTAATGCATTCCAGATTCATGTTTGCTTTTCCCCCCTTTCTAATGCATCCCAGATTCATGTTTGCTTTTTTTGCAACAGTGTCACACTGTTGACTCATGTTTAACTTGTCATCCTCTATGACCCCTAAATCCCTTTCAGCAGTACTTCTTCCTAGATAATCACTTCCCATTTAGTATGCGTGAAACTGATTATCCCTTCCTAAGTGGAGTATTTTGCATTTGTCCTTATTAAACTTCATCTTGTTTACCTCAAACCATTTCTCTAGTTTGTCCAGATCATTTTGAATTTTGACCCTATCCTCCTAGCTTGGTATCATCTTCAGACTTTTGTACTCTATGCTATCATTGATGAAGATATTGAATAGAGCTGGCCCCAAAACAGGCCCCTGCGGAAACTCACTTGTTATGCCCTTTCAGCATGATTGTGAACCGTTGTTAACTGCTTTCTGAGAACTGTTATCTAGCCAATTATGCACCTACCTTATAGTAGCCCCATCTAGGTTGCATTTCCCTAGTTTAAGGATAAGAAGGTCATGCAAAACCATGTCAGATGTCTTACAAAATCTAAGTATACTACGTCCACCGTTTCTCCCTTATCCATAAGACTTGTTATCCTATCAAAGAAAGTTATCAATTGGTTTGACATGATTTGTTCTTTACAAATCCATGCTGGCTGGTGGCTGGTACCTGTCTCCTTATTTTCTTCCACATGTTTGCAGATGATTTCCTTCATTACTTGCTCCATTATCTTCTCTGGCACAAGTTAAACTGACTGGTCTGTAGTTTCCTGTGTTGCTCTAATTTTCCTTTTTATAGATGGGCACTATATTTGCCATTTTCCAGTCTTCTGGAATCTCCCCACTTCCATGATTTTTAAAAGATGATAGCTAATGGCTCAGATACGGTTGATAGAGGAGGTAAGCTGAGCGTAGAGCTGAAACACAACAGCTCCATGCCGGTACTGGTGAAAGCGCCAGAAGTGCAAAAAGCGGCACCAGCAAGACCGTGATCAGCACAGACACCAGTGAGGTATGCAAACACGCTTATCAAGCAACTGGCACTGGCTCCAGCTTTAATGCCAGTGCCAACAGTACAAGTGCTTCTGGTGTCCCCCTATCTCCCTCCCATCCCCCCTCCACTTCTGCTGCCTCAGTTTACCACCACAACAGAATTGACAGTGGCGTTGATACAGGGAACAGTGCTCTTTGGGACAGATGGCACCCCAGATACCCCCAGGTTCAGTTTAACTTCACTAGCATTGGCATCCCCTTTGAGTGACAGTGACAATGAGAACCCTATACACATACTCCCAGAAATTTCATCACCCATGCTAGTGCAGCAGTGGTAACAGTGATAATGGCTTTCACCACCCATATCAACCAACTGGCTGTATTGGGACCTGTGGGTGGTGTATGGAGTTTAACAACCTTAGCAGCCACAGCTACCACAGGTACCCAAGCCTCAGCTTCTCCCTCCATGCTCATTTGCCCGACCATTCCTGTTTCTCAGAGTACAAAGAGGAAGTTGACATCACAGGGGCAGAATGAACAATAGACTTGCCCCCACCTACACACCTTTCATCCTCGTCACCTGATGACACAATCATGCCTCTACCACCCAGTGCAGGGGATGATTTAAATCCTTTCAGGAACAGTTTAAACAGGTATAACGTACACTGGAAATATCGCTGTCAGATATTGCTGAGTTACTGCCCCAGGTGAGTAACCTTCCCTTTCTGAACCTCTCAGTGGCTACTTGTTATAGCTACTGCTTAGGCTGGATCTGCTGTCCCCAAAACCATGGCAGTCTTCTGACTCTGGACCTGGGGGTGCTGCACCTAACAGCTTGGTTACTGCATGGTTAAATGCGGAGGAGCAGGAGTGTTTGGCTGGTGTTAAATTAGGTTCTCTTGGGCAGAAGAAAGCCCTCCGCCTGAGTGACCTACCTAGCCAAATGGAAGCAGTTTGCTTGTTGGCCCTCAGATACAGTCTGGCTCACTCAGAATAGATGCCTTTTATTTAATCCTGTATCTTCTGCACCTGAAGCTATAAGGTCTGTGTCTCTCATCTGTCAGTGTCTATTTGGTTGCTATCTAGTCCTCCTATCTGCCGTTCAAGGATTGGTTGGCTTTCACTCAAAACATGACTGCTAAGTTCCTCCAGGGCTTTGAATACCTTGATCCGCACGTGAGGGAGGGACCTGAATCCAGTGCTGTTGTGGCTCCTCAGACAAGCCCTTTGGCTTCCTGCTCTCTCCTCCTTTCTGGGAAGGTCATGTTTGTTGCGGTAACATCTACCTAATGGGTGTCTGAGATTAGGTTGCTCACCTCAGAAATGCCCTATATGGGCTTCTACGAAGACTAGGTACAGCTGTGGCCAGACTTGGCTTTCCTGCCCATGGTGGTCTCACTGTTTCATGTGGGCCAGGATGTCTTTGTTTCCATAAGTCAGAGGAGGGACAGCATAGGTTGTATTCTCTAGAGTCAAGGCCACTAGCCTTCTATGTTGAAAAGATGAAGCCATTCTATAAGTTGATGCAATTGTTTGTCGTAGTGGCTGACAGAATGAAAGGTTGTGCACTGTTCGCTCAAAGAATTTCCTCTTGGCTCACTGCCCTGCATTGGCAGTTGCTGCAATCAGACAAAGGTGCCACTGGTGAATTGTAACTGCTCAATGAGGATGTAAGCCTTCCTAGTACAGCTTTCCTAGTACAAGTGCCGATCTGGAACATCAGTAGGATGTCCACCTGCTTTTCTGTCTACATTCTGTCCTGCACTAGGGATGTTAAATATCAGTTAACTGAATAGTTGATTAACCTCATGAATTCTTATCGGTTAGTCGACTATTCTGTAGTCCCAGGGCAATCCCTGTCTGAGGGAGAGGGGTCTGAGCTCCTGGACCCAGTGTGAGCCAAAATGCAGAGCCCGGGGGGGGGGCGTGTCCAGGACCCAGTGCAAGCTGGGACTGAGCTGGGCTGCTGGTCAGCCTGATAAAAATTTGCTGCGTGGGGGTATGGAGGGTGGGGAATGCATGTCTTGCTTATCGGTTAATAGGTTAATCGATTATACTATTACATTCCTATCATGCACTTATCCAGCAGGCTTGGGATAATGTTGGCTTCAGTAGAGTAATGCTGCAAGTTGCTAGACTGAACTCGGAGCCCTCCTCTAAAAATACTGCTTGTGAGTCACCTGGAATGAAACTGACATGAGCAGAAACTCACAGAAAACTGTTACTTGTCTTTTCATAACATATTTTGAGATGTGTTGCTCCTGTCCATTCCATTACTCACAGTTCTCCTGTACTGTTGGAGTTGTTGGCAAGAAGAAACTGACATATGGTTGGCAGCACCTACTATAGCAGTGCATGAGCATAGCACTCAAGGATGTGCCACAGCTGATCTTACAAATATGACTAAAGCAAAAATCTCTGTACACACATGCCTACAATGGAATGAATATGAGCAACAGATCTTGAGCAACAGTTGCGAAAAGGTAGATAATGTTTTCCTTCCTCTGCCTTGATGATTAGGCAGTTTTGTAAACAGACTACTCTCAATTTAAACTCCCTTCATCTTGCTTTTTCCTGCTTGTATGCATGGGTTTCATAGTAGGTAGAACTCAAATGCATTGATAAAAGAATGAATTAAATAGTTATAGTAAATTACTACTGATACTTATGTTCAGATTAATCTTCCTTGAGAAACTTCAAGTGGATTTTGAAATACTTTTTTCTTTAAAGTGTAGACTAAAATTTAGGAACTAAATCTATTCTTACTAGCCTGAAAGATTTTTTCCCTAGAACTCTTGTGAGTGTGTGTTTCTATTTTAGTCTGTACCTTTTACCATATTTGATATTTTTTAGAAGTTGAATTCATGGTGCTAAACTAACTGTGGCACTGCTCACTTCTTTAGTTTCCGTAATTGCTAATAGGGATGTGAGTGTCATGGTTACACGCAGCTCCCTAATTGCTAATATATTTTTAATAGTAAATTATTTAAGGAAGGTGGTGGTTGTAAAGAGAAGGAATGTGATATCTCAAAGGACTGGTAAAGTGCTATGAAGTCTTTTTTGATTTGGGACTGTCCAATACACAGATAACTTCTATGAAAACTATTGATCTTGGTCAAGTGCCTGCATAGGCAGCACCACAATAAGAACCCTTGTTTGTCAGTCCTACGATCAAAGAATGAAGGGTTTGAACCTTAAACTTGCCTCTGGATGAAGACTTTTACATTTCTAATTTGGGACATAGTGATGATGTGGGGAGTTGGAGGAAAGCCTGTATTGCTGTTTGTTCCTAGCATAGATGCTCAATCAGACTTTGACATCTGGGAAAGTGAATCTAGCACACGAATTGAGCACTACACTTGCCAAAAAAGGCAGCATGATGCTTTTCCTGTATTACAGCAGCAGATGGGAACTTTGCTGTTTATTAGTAGTACCTAAAGTTCTTTAGGTGGCCCATGATTTCTTGCTTTTTAGTAGCAAGTTGTTTGAGACTGATGTGCAGTTTGCTTTGTTTTAGCTTGAGAACGCCAGACTCTCCTCTGAGATGAGTAGTTCCACAGCGAACTCAGTAAGAGAAGAACTGACAGAAAGTCGTATGCGAATTGAAAGCCTCTCCTCCCAGCTCTCAAGCCTACAAAAAGAGGTAACAAATCATCTCGGATTTGCTGTCCCTTTAATAGAACTTGATTAAAAGTATACACCCTTTTTTCTTTATTTCGAATTGAATGTTAAATGGATTTTATTAGTTTTCCTGATATCTTACTGGCTGTTGCTTTTTAAATTCTGTCACTGTTACAAATACCAAAGATTCCAATAACTGAAAGATTAGAATTAAAATATTTTTGTTTACTTCAAATATTTAACAGCAGTTTCAGGTCAGTTGTACTGTTTCTCTTATGTAAAGTTTTTATAAAATGGGGAAAGATGTCTTAACTTTTTTTTCAAATACTCCCTTGAATATATTTTTGTAAGTAAGTTTTTTACATTGTCTTTGAGAAAAGGGAAAGATGTGTTTACCCTCCAGTGAATTACATACTGAAAATATACTGAACTGGATTTGCTCTATTTGTTTTGTATTCTTCTAGTAGCTAACTTGTTTATGTTCACCTATTTCTCTATTAGATCATTCTGTTAATGACTAAGTGGTTAATGGCTTGAATGGGCACAACAAACTAAATCCGCAGTTTTGATCATTGGTACAATATGTTCAATTTTTTTTGCTTGTAAATGCAGGTACTGTGGCATTGATTTAGAAATGGCTGGTGTTCTGCTGTTGTGATGATCTTGAAAGATGGTTTTCTGTTTCAAGAATTAGGAGGTTTTATTTTCATCTCATGCTCCTTCCCCATTGTGTACCGTTTTGTTTTCTGTGCTACACGGGTGGTTTTACTGTACTCATCACTCTGCTTAATGCCCAAGAGCTCGGGTACTCAACATGATTTTTGTCACATTTGTGTTCTCATTCTCTTCCCAGTGTATATCAAGTACATTCTAGAAGTTTTATTTTCTGTTCACACATGTTATGTGTGTGTTAGAGAGCAAGATCAAAGAAATTAATCTTGTATGTGGAATAAAAGGTGGTGAGGGCTGTGATCCTTGGTTTCTATCTGAATTGATTCCACTGTCTTCAGCTGGCCTCCAAGAAAATTTCTATGGAACAGGCGGAATGTGTGGTGAGCTGGCTTAAAAGCCTGGTACAGAGACAGCAAGAGGGTGGGGCAGTGCAGGGCGTGTAGTTATTTGGTTTAACTGATAAGCTTAGGCTTATCGGTTAATCGTTCAAACGACTATACATTAACATCCCTAGTTAATATCCATTTTGTTTTTGTGGTCCACATTGGTGTTTACATTAAATAACTCCTCTCTTTCTCTGGTATTTCTCCCTCTGTTGTAATTAGAGAGAGCAATCACATCTTCTCATTATCATTCTTTTGGTTATGCTAAAAAAGTCAAGCTCTGACTCTCTCTTCTAAGGTAGGTTTTCCAGTTTTCAGATCATCCTAGTAGCTCTTTTCTGGCCCTGTTCCAATTTGAATTAATTGTTAGTTAAACATGGGAGACTAGAATTGAAATCTCACCAATTCCTTGTATAATGGTACTAACCTTTCTTGTTTCTACTCGAAATATCTGATTTGGTGCATCCTAGCTCTGCATTAGTCTTTTTCATATCCATATCATGTTATCGGTTCATAATCACTCTGTGATCAACACATGGATCTGTGTCTTCACTGTCGCTTCCAACTGGTAAGTCCTCACCGTATAGCAAAAATTATTTGTCCTTAAGGCCTGGTCTACACTAGGACCTTAGTCTGAAATAACCCCCCAGGTTGAATTTATAAGCGATGTGTCCACATTATCAAGCCTGTTATTCCGGAATAAGGGGCCGTGGAATTTGAACTCTGTAGTCCTGCTTTTCATAAGGAATAACACTATTCCCAAACTTATAGTTACAAATAGTGTTAGTGTAGATTCTCCGGTGCTATTAATTGACCTCGGGTAGGCCTCTACCAGCTCCCCAAAGTGCTTCCTGGGGCTCTTAGTCCAAGGTAGCGCATCCACATTAATGGAGCCTGCCTCAGACTACATTTGATTCTTCCCTGTAGTGAGGACACAGAAATTTGAATTTGTAAAATTGGGTACTCAGAATTCAAACTTAGTAAATTATACTGTAGACATGTCTGAAGTGCTTGACTTTGTATTACATGTTGAATCTCTCTGGTCTGGCACCCTTGGGACCTTACTGGTACCGGATGAGGGATTTTTCAGGACCCCCTGATGCTGGCTCCCCCTGCCAGTGCCTCTTCCCCCGCCCCCTCTCTCCCTCCCTGCCTTCCTGGTTCCCCTTCTCAGCCCAGCTAATCCACATGCTGGCTTCCAGCTCCCCCTTTGCAGCCCAGCTGAGCCACCAATGAGCTTCTGGGCCACCCTCCTGCAGTGCACCGGAACACTCTGATCCTAGAACAGTTGTGGCCATTTGTTACTCTAGTTTACAATGTCACCCAAATCTTTTATGATATTTTGGTCCTCCTCCTCCATATTGGCAATACCTCCAAATTTTGTCACCCACACATTTTTTAGTGCACACCCACAAGTTCTATCAAGCTCAGTAATAAAAATATTTAATAAGATTGGTTCCAAGACACATCCCTAAAGAACTCCTCTAGCAACCTCCCTTCAGCCTCTTAGTTCCTTTTAATTATGAACCATAGTAGTCTCCCTTTACCAGTTCCTTATCCATCTTTGTTCTCACGTTAGTTCCCATCTTCTTCAGTTGAATTAATAATTTGTCATATGGAACTGTATCAAATGCCTTACTAAAATTAATATTGTATCTACTGCAGTTCCTGTGTCTATGAACAGTTTCCTTAACAAAAGAGGCGTTCAAGTTGGTCTAGCACAATCTACCTTTTGTAAACCATGTTGTGTTTTATCTCCGTTACTATTTACATCCACGTCCTGAACTGTTTTCTTCCCAAAAAAAGGCATGCAGTATCTCAGTTCTCACTTTATCCTCTCTTAAAAATAGGAGCCATATTAGCAGTTGTCCTGCCATAGGGTATGAGTGTGTACAGATTTATTAACAATTCTTGTTGGTCTTAGTTTCACATTCCAGTTCTTTTTTAATATAGTTGGATGCAGATTAGTCTTACAAAGCTGGTACATTTCACTTCTGTCTTGATATGTTAATTTCTCCTGTTATATCCTTGTTCCCATTATTCACCTTGCAGCTAACCCTAAGATCTTCATTGGCCTTATTAAAAACAGAGGCAAAACATTTGTTTAGATGTTGGTCCATGCCTAGATTGTCTCGAATCTCCATCATTCCCCCCTCAGTAGGGAGTAGTCGACTAGTTGCTAAGCACAAGCTTATCGGGTAGTCGATTGGCGTATCATCTACTCACTCTTCCTCTGCCCCTGCCTTTGAGAGATAACAGAGGAGGGAGGAGCTGGTGCTGGGGGAGGCAGTGTGTAGGGGGGTGATGTAGGGAATGCCGCTGCCAAGCAGCCCCCTCGTTTCCCCCCGCCCCACCCCCCTTTTTTTTTGCAACAGCCCAGGCTGGCCACGTGCAGGAGCTGCTCCAGCATCAGCCCTTGTTTGTGGTCAACAAGGCTGGCTGCCACAAACAGGAGCTGCTGGACTCAACAAGAGCTGGGACCAAGCAGTCCTGACTTGCGCTGGTCCTGGATGCTGTGCCTCTGCATTTTAAATATACAGTAAAACTCCAACTGTCCGGCATCCAGTGGTCCAGCACTCCTGATAGTCTGGAACCCGGAAGTGCTCCGGCCAGCTGGACAATTGGAGGTGCTCTGCCCCCGGCTTCCGGAAGTCAGCCGCTGGTCAGTTTCAACAGCGGCTGACTTGGGGAAGCCAGGGAGCGGGGCAGAGCATCTGGGGTGCTGCTGGGTTGGTCCTACAGTGCCCCCCTCTCCCATGGTGAGCAGTTCCCGACCTCTCCTCCCCGTCCCCACCCCAGACCCCTGATAGCCCCCCCTTCCGGTACTCTGGCATATCTAATAATCTGGCATTCCCCCTGGGTCCTAAAGGTGCCGCATTATCTGTAGCTTACTGTAGTAAGAGCCCAGTAGCTCGTACTACATTTAAAATGCAGAGCCACAGAGTTCTGCATTGTATTAACTACATGATTAGCCAGATAACTAAGAAAACAAGGACAGAGGAGTGTGATCACTAAACAATGAGGATTAAGGATGTTAAATTGCAGTTATCTGGCTATAGACTCTTTTACTATTAATTTTTTAATGCTCTTTGCAAGCTCCAACTCTGTTTAGCTTTTAGCAGTTCTCACTTTATCCTTAGCCTTTCTGAACTACAAAATTTAACTTTCTTTGCTGATACTTTTTCTATTTCTTGTAAGCTTTCTGATTATTTTTTTTAATCACCTGTTTGAGGGGTTTGTTCGTTCAGCTGGGTCTGCAACCCTCGTCTGATTTTTCCTCCCCCCCCTCCCTTTTTTGCTTGGGATTCGGATTGCAGATAATTTCTGCAGCTTTGACTTAGAATTACTTTGAGTCTGTTGTATTCAAATTCGTATGTTCTTCAGTTTGGGCCACTTCCCTAACAAATACTTAATTTTTTAAAGCTAGTCCTTTTGAAATCAAGGATCCTAGTTGCAGATCTTTAGGACATACTGTATGTTTGGCCATATCTGTTACTTCATTCCAATTGTATCTGTTCCCTTTTTTGTTAGAGAATTCTGAGTCTTTTGGGGCCATATATACATTGCAGCATAATTTAGGGGGTTCATTTTTGCATCTTGTGTCCATTTCATGTGGCACTGGGCAGTCTAGCAGGTGCTGGAAGGGGGAGTTAGTGAGTATCCTTTCTCTTGGTGGGTATTTAGTGGTGCGTGTTTGATATGAGGTAGGGCACATGGATTGCTTCCTTGGTATGCCAGAGTTACTGGATTTTTTTTATGGACCTCCCCCTTAGGCTCTAGGGTAGGGACAAAAATGAGGGGTTCATTGCGCAAGACAGGTCTGTGAGTGAGTGAGATGGGGATGAGGGTGCAGGATCTGGGGTGCTGAAGGGGAGAGATTGCAAGGTCTGGGTGGGAGGTAGGGTGCAGAAGCAAGCTGGGAGTAGGGTGTCTGTCCAAGTAGAGGGAGCAGGAGCAAGGGAGGGTAGGTGGATGCAGGAGGCGGGTGAGGATAGGTATCTGGCTAGGCCAGGGGTGAGGGTGCAGGAGTAAGATGGGGGTAGGGTGTCTGGTCAGGAGGGAGGGTGCAGGAGCATGGGAGGATGTTGGAGCAAACTGGGGGTGCAGAGTCTTGGTGGGGAGGTGAACGAGGGGGATTCGGGTGTGGGGGTTTGGGTATGTGGGGGGGGGGGACGCTTACTCGGCTTCGTGCCCCCTTGCAGCAACTGCCACGGCCACGCGGTCCTGGGCCGACCATAGAGTTGCCACTGAGGATCCTCAGTTCCAGTGCTGCCTCCTCCCACTACAGCCTAACCTGCTGCTGGGGAAGAAGGAGGGCTCTCCAGCAGCTGTGTGGGGGAGGAGGGATGGAGCTGAACTCTTGCCCTGCCTGCTGCTGAAAATCAGCTCATGTGCCACTTATGGCATGTGTGCCACAGGTTGATGGTCCTGGTCTATAATGATGATATGCACTTGTCTTCATTTGGAGGCACTTGGCGAGCTTTACAACACTAATAAAATAACTTTCCAACATTTCCTATTAAGTAGATTGGATGGTCTTCATTTTAAAGATGAGGACACCGAAGTACAGAAATTAACTCCTAGTGTGTCCTAAGCACCATACCATTGTTCTATGTTGTTTGGAAAGATGACAACTAAATTTATGCCTATATGTCTTCGTATTGTATGTGACTTATGTTGTAATAAGGAAACCTACAGGCATGCTTACCGTGGTTGACTGGAACTAGTGAGTCACAAGGACTTCCTGAAATCAAACTTCAGTACAGTATGAGCATTTCCTTTCCCCCCCTGCCCACCACATAAGTGATATTGCCTAACTTTGGATTGGTGCAGTGATGCACTTAGTCTTCCCAACTTCTTAAAAGAGAAATATCTGCTACTACAATCACTTCCAATAAATTTTTATACATTTTTGCTGTCTTTCCTGCAGAGCCCTCAAATGCAGATTCGGAGTATTGTCTACAGGAGTATGTTTTTTCAGTGTCCCAATTGCATTGGCATCAGTGTAGTTCATCCATTTCAAGAAGTAATGAGCCTACTCATGTGGACTGCCCAGTGGTGTGTTTCTACCATATTGTATAATGCCCCTCAGAGTAGATCTAGACCAGATAATGGCAAATTAATAGCAGCTGGTCTATACTACTGTTCACCCTCATTGTCAGTGCAGCATAATCCACGTAATTACAGTGACAGATTGAGAGCTTAATGTCAACATGATTTGGGAGGGTTAACATTGTATTTGCATATCAGTTTTTGCCGATAACTTACAACACCCAAAAAAAAAATCAATTTTAAAAATCCCTTCCTTTCTTCCATTAAACCCTATGTAAAGTTTGAAATCTAACTATTCCAGTATAGCCTCTCCCCATTGAGTTACATAGCGACCGCGCTGTTCGTAAGTGCGGGTCACGTTCATAACTCTGGGACCGCCTTTACGACCGCTCCATGGGAGCTTTGGTCATAAATGCAAACAGTCGTAACTCAGCCGTTTGCAACTTGGGGACCGGCTGTATTCAAAAGCAGCCTAAAAGCTTTTAACCCACCTGAAATTTTGGCACCATCCCTTACAGCAGGGGTCTGGAACCTTTTCAAACCAAATAGCCAAACTACATGAAAGTTTAGAACAAGTGGTCAACAAAGAGCTGTATAAGAATGTCCATTTGCATGACTGAAAATCTACAATGTAATATTATTAATTGACTTTGTGATTAATAGCATGAATGAAACCTTGTACTCCCACACTTTATTTAATGGGACTTTTGCTGTTGCATCTTTTAGCACATTTCTTTAAAGTTTACAACCCACAGCCCCCACAGCCACTGAGAACAGCTGGCTTCAGCTGTGGCAGGCCCCCGCCCCAC